GGGAAGGCCGGGGCGTGGGCGAGCGTGGGGCGGAGTGTGCTGGTGGGGTCGGCGCGACGAAGGCAACACGATACGCGCTTCTTCCGGGTCCTAGTCCCGCCAGGCGTTGGCGCACCAACCAGCCTCGCCCGTCCGCGCTGACAAGAGCCCGAGTATGACAAGATGCACCACAATCTCCGACGATGCACGCTCGCGGAACTGAACAGGAGAGCTCCCTCGTTCGGAGCGAGTAGCGGCGAGCGCAAGCGAACACTGCGACGTGTGTGGTGTATGGCGAGCTGTGAAGCGCGTCGAGGCGATGAACTGCACTCCGAGGGAGGAATGTGCTTGGGCGCTTTGAAATAATTTAAAAGGAACGAATTCTACGAAGCAGCGAATCCTGTGTCGGATCTTTCAATTTGATGAATTCAGGGAACGGAGATTCACGGGTTTTCCCCTTCGCAGTGCTCTCTAGTTTTTGAAACTGTCCAATACATATACTACTGTATGTTAATGAGATGATAGTAAATTAGCAAAGAAATTACTTCATAAGCTACATAGATTCGAGCATAAATCGCTATTGGGGATGAGGTTTCAATACTTATAACTCAATGCATTTGTGACTCGAATGTTAGATCCAGTACAATAACATGTTATCTACACGTATCAAATAGGTTTTAAAAGCCAACATACATTCGAACATATGTTTCACTATGTTCCACATAAGGATTCAATCACATTGTTCACTCCGATATGAACAATATGATTTAATAAATGAACGTTTCATTTGGAAATATTAATATTAATACAAATTATTGGATACAACGCTATATATAATTTCGTATCAATAATAAAACAGTATCTTATTAATGAATCAAATAATTTAGAAATACTTTCAACAGAAATATTTTAAAGAAGTAACTACTTCCAATGAGAGTTTCGCGATTAAATTAAATTATCCTCTCAGTTGATATGAAGAGTGGATTGTCAAGACGACAGGTTATGAAAATCGATCACTTTAACTTCTTTCATCAGGTCAGTAGAAACAAAAAAGTTTACGTAGCAAAAACGTTGAAGTTCATATTGCCTGATATTCCTGACTATTGCATATTTTAATTAATTAAATTAACTACATAATTTTTCAAACACACTGCGCGTCCGATCTCTCATATACATTGTCAGATTAATACAAGAATAGTAATACTGCCGACGTTTGGCATAGATTGACGTCGTCAGAGATGTTCCCACAATAAACTAAGCGAGGGGCGTCGTATTCTCAGAATGAACTATGATTGTTCCCCTGAATACGCTAGTGATGAAAAAAAAACAACAAACTTAAGTGATTCAAATATAAAATAATATTTCGAAAAAAATAACAAAAAAGAATCATTAAATTGAAAAACTTTTCAGTTTCTTACATAGTTTCCATTGGCTTGCCACGTATGTGTTCATATTTTCTTGCCCTCTTACAAGGATTTTTAGATTTTTTCCTCTAGTCATTTAGATATTCGTAAAGACATTTTTTCTCCTCCTTCTGGAATAGCAATTCTTCCTCCACTAAAAGTTAACTGTGTTCACACCCATCCACTATGTAACATAACTTCTTGATTTTTTTTAGTTGTGTTGATTTTGAACAAACATATTTTCAATTAACACAAGAATTTAAAATCAACTGAACTAAACGACTTGAAGAAATACGGTTTTCAGGATTGTTTCGGAACAACCAGATGCCACGAACAAGTGTGTGGAAAGCCCAAAGGAGCTCTGAATTTCCTTAATTTATTTATGTTATTCCGAATGCGTCTGCTGTTTTCACGCCTTGCTTGTGTTTGCTTTGAGGGAAGCGCACCTCGCTTGAGTAGCGTCAGCGCCTCCACGATGAGCTTCTGGTTGACCCCGCACAGATGCGGCATCAGCTTCTCACACTTGCGGTGGCAGTTGACGTCGCAATCTGCGGACAGACGCTGGCCTTGAGCGCGCGCCCGGGCCCCGCAGCTGCCAACGCCGTCTCCCCCTCGGCCCAGCGCTTTGGGGCGAATTCGCAATGTGAACTGTAGGTGGACGAAGTCCTTCAAGATTAGCAACTTTCGCATGTCCATACCCTGCCGTGGTTTCAAATGATTTCCTACTAACCACTTGTCGCGAGCCATGAAATTATATTGGCCCCTACTGAATTGTAGGGGCAATTTATGATTGTCGCTTCCACAGACTGCAGCACGAATGTTCTTGACACGCTTTTAGTCTTAAAATAATTCCTGAAAATACATTAACTTTCCAAAAACAAACGTAGAAGTAATTACGTAAAACGGAAATATTAAAAATTATTACCGAACATGGTTTGAATGAAAATTGAAACCATGTTTGTTAATGAGAGAGTGTTACAAAACAGGGGAAATTAAATATGCTTCTCTCATCCTAACACAAGAAGAACCCTCAGTCGCTTATAAAATAATTACTACCTCGAAACGTAATGTGCCACAACTACTAGTTTATTTTAGGACACTTAGTTGTGCAAATACTACATCTTGTTTTCAAAATATCATTAGCCAGCATAAACTTTGAGGACCAAAAACGTATATAATGACAATGAAAGTCGCCTTTAAGTCAAATCTTTAAATAAAAATATTTGTATAAAAGAAAATATGTAAGTTTAAGAACCGTAATTGTTATTCCTTATTATACGTAGCAATATACATATTCTTTCGATTCTCCAGAATTATCCAAAGATCAATGAACTTGAACACAATCATTACTACAACTTAGGTCAGCCACATTCACGAGTGTTCAAGCTCGCAAATGTGCATCGGGAGATATGATGCTCACAAAAAGCAAAAGCTACAACGCGAAGAAACCTTTGCGAGGGACGCGGTGTATCAGAGAGACGAATTGGAACCATCAAAGAGTCGCCGCCGTCCACTTCCGATGGAAGATGTATCCTTGGCAGCACGTGGAGCCAAACCTTCATGAAATCGTCCGGTCGTTCCGAGGACGTCGACGCTCCTTCCCTTCACGGCCGGAGCGCTCTTGATCGCCCCGCCTCCAACGCTTCCCCTTGCGCATGCGCGACAGTGCGCAGAAACACGAGCGGAACTAGATAGATATGAAGAACTGCCGCGGGCGACTCGCCATAAATTCCGCGTCGCCAGAGAATCCGCGACATTTATTAGCGCACGTGGCTGGAGCAAGAAGCTCCATCGGCGTAGGATGGCGTTCGTGGCACACAGGAGATCTTTATTTCGGTTGCACCGAAGCTCAAAATGCACGTGCACCATGGACACTCAATTTGAATTCGTCTTCCAATGCTAACAATTCGGTTTACAACATTTATTCAATAGAGAGTGGTTAAAACTATTACTTTTTGTCTCTTTTCTTTCCTAGTCAGAAGCTTGTTGGGGTAAATTCAAGAGAAAAAGTACAATTTGAAATTGATGGTGTATACATTTTGCATATCAGCTTAATAAAACAGGGATATCAAAAATAATAATTTTATATTAGTCTCACATTTATAACGCTATTTTAAATCGCATTTTGGAGCATTGCGCTACATAAATGAAAATATATTTAATTTATACTCGTGATTCTGCAGACCTAAATAAACCAAATCATGTGCAAAATGTCATAAATTGTTACTATTTTCCTGTGCATACATCACATTTATCTATGTTTAATTAATCATTGACATTTTGCCCCAAGTTCTTCCCTGCATAGCGTATGATAATAAAAAACTCTCAACTTTTATTATAAGACAGACTAATAAATACTCTTCCTATAATCCTGTCAGATTCTTCAAAATAGTTGCAGAAAGTATCTCAATATTAGTTAGAATTATAATATTAAATTATTTCTTTCTAAAAATGCCTGTCTAATACTTTTGTCAAAAGGCAGTATTATAACATTGGGCTGTTGTGAACAGAAAATATTGTTTTCTACGAATTCGAAATAAGAACAGATGTTTGAGACACATTTTTACGAATCTCTTTTATCGTACAATATGGCTCGGGCCAAAAGAGCGATGTATGATGCGACGAGCAAAAAGCGAAGGGAGAGGGGCGGCTGGGTCCCTCGCTCCGACTCCATCCAAGAGGCGCTCGGAATTCGACTTCCCACTGAGCCACGCGAATCGCTCATTCCTTCCTCGCTTTACTATCGGCGCCCAAACCAAACTTGAGTCATATTGTCAGCCATATTTTATAAAACCAAATGGAAATTGTCGGAGTGATGTTAAGAGTAATTTCAAACCACATACGTATGCCGCTCATGAAAATATAGTCGAAAATTAAGCAAATTCTAAGAATGCAAATTCAATTATCGAATTATAGTGTCGACGTAATTCTCTTCAAAATTCTATAATTTTTTTAAACATATTATTTTAGGATTTGCAACCCATATCTTCTAAATATTCACTAATGTTGTATTACATACATTTTCAATAATCATGAATTAAATCGTACGCACATAGCTTGTGCATCTCGTTCAACACTTAAGAAACACAAAAGAGTGTGTTGCGCAAGTAAACATTATTAAGCCAAAACATTCGTCACGCGAAAATATGCCAAACAACAAATCAATCACGAACATCAACGAAACATCGCAATGGCAAGACTTCTGAGAGAAGGCTGATTTCCGGGTCGAAAATTTAAGAACACAAGAGTTATCAATGTCGACAGAGCAGAAGGCAGCGGCTTCGGTACGTATGAAATCCACTTACATTCATACACACTATCGATTGGTAATTTACTCCCAAGACCACATTCTTGCTCCTACAATACACCATTAGTAAAATATACTAAATCACTTCAATATTTGTATCTAATACATACTAATTGTTAGTAGAGCAAGGTTTAAAAAGGGTTCAAATACATTTCTAAAATTAAATGAAAAAGTTCATAGCGTACACTAGAAACAAGCGCATTTCTGAAAACTGGGGAAGGGAAAATGGGAAAAACATTTTGAGGATCTGCGACTCGAAGCGACGTGGGATTCAATCTGGACGTCGGCCCTCGAGGGTTTTTTCGTCGCGCTGGGCACAGCGCCACGTTGCCCCGTACTGTTTTTATGTATAAAGTTGGCAACAGTAAAAAGTCTGGGTTCTAGAACAACTCTCTCCTATTAGCAAACAGATACTCATTAGGCAACTAAATCTGCCAAAATCTAGCTCAACTTAGCGAGAGAGTGTTATAAATGACCCGTGTCAACATTCTACATCAACAATGTCGAGAACAAACTATTAAAAGAATAAATCATAAGATGAGACAAAATTACAAATACAGCGACAGGCGCTTAGGAAGCAGAAAAAAATAATCAACTTTCTTATTCCTTGCTTTAGAGCTTCCTTAGAAAACGAGGATGTGTGCACTGTATACTACTCTATTAAGCAGTTTGCAAATTTGAAGACCTCAACTCTTATGATATCGGTGCACTCACAGTGTTGTATTCAGAAAATGTAAATAGAACGGAAGATATTAGTGCTGTGTAGTACTGAAATAATAGTGGATTCTACACATGTTAAGGATTTAAAGAAATTATAAGCGAAGCAAGCTCATTAATGTTAGTTGGATAAAAGTCAAGCCCCTGACACTCCCTTTGAATGCTAATACCTTCTTACTATTCAAGAATAATCCAATTGCATCTCTAGAATTGTTTAACTTTATCGGCACGACGTCCTTTAGGCAGGCCTACGCAAACAAAATAGTATCAGAAATGCAATTCAACGCAAATTTGAATGCCCAAAATACGAATAATTGAGTCGTACTAACAATATTTTAAGTCTAAAACGTTCTTTACACTCTTTACCATTTCCTCAAAAGTTTCCAAATTTGTTTTCCGTATGAAACTCTAATGCATACGAAGCCAAAAGTAATTATACCAACCTTATATATTGAACATATTCAAACCGCAGGTTTTTTCAGTTGTCAATTACGATTTATAACTTGTCAATATTCTCGTTTCTGTTCTTATTCATTCATTATAGTTATTTGGCCCCTTAGTTTTTTAATATCTTTATTTTTAATACTGTAGTGTTTACATAATAACACTATAAAAACTAGAAAAAATAAAAATAATAAATAAAACCTATTACAGAATGATACGTAGTGTTATGTAAACACTACAATAATTAAAATAAAGGTCCGTTAAAAAACTAAAGGGACAAATACAAAAAAATATGATTTCTACGCAGTTATGTTCATCACCCTATAATAGTTATGAATGTATCAGGAAAAGGAAAAATCACGATTTTAAAACACTTTCATTAGCAATTCAGTAATATCAACGTTAAATACCATTTCAAATGGGGAAAAGCATAATTTTAAACACTTTAAGCACAGTAATATGAACGCAAAAATGTATAAATAGTTTTTCAAATGGCAGCCTATAAATTCCTACTTTGTTTCCATAGCCATAACAAGACGTAATCAAATGACTAAATAATCACTGTAGCACTCTACATGTATGTCTCAATTTGTAAATTTTTATTTCCTTCCTCTACGAAAACAGAACACCTACTCAAGAAAGTTCCACGGTTTCTGTTCCATTCCTACTCAGAAAAGTTCCAAACATTTCTGATACATGTGGTTATTAAAAGAGATTCTTTTCTATTTTGACTCCGTGCTCCAAAGTTGTCGCGTTGTCGGAGGAGCGGTCGCTTCGCGGGAGTGGCAGGGCAAGACGGCGGAGTGAGCGGCGCCTAGCGACTAGAGTTAGTCAGTACCCTTCTTATTGGACGGAGGACTACCAGGCACTGAGGACGGCCTGCTGTCGAAGCCCGAGTCGGAGGACGAGCAGGAGCTGCCGCTGGCGCGGGGCGTGGCGCCGCCGTCCTCGTCCCCGTCCTCGTCCTCGGAGCTGCTGCTGGAGTTCTCGCCGTCGGCCTCGCTGCCGGACGCCGGCACTCGCGCGGCCGCGGCCGCGGGCGGCGCCTGGGGCGAGGTGGCGGCTTCCTTCGCCCTGCCC